TTTTTATTTATTTAAAGAATTTGAATATAAGTGGGTACCCGTTTATATAATTATTATTTATTCTGCATTATATAATGGATATTAAGTATGTATATTTTTACTAATTTTATTCTATTCATTTACACCTTATATCTTTATTAATTATTAATTAAATTTATGAAGTGATTGTTTACATCTCCCACAGTTTCTTAATAATTGTTCCGGGTCTGGATGTTTGTCCTTGTGCAATTTATGTTTGTAAACTACCTCCACGATACAGGAGAAAATCCTAGTGTGGGGGTAACGTTTTTTTAATAAAAAATAAAAAAAGTTTCTTAAATCATTCAGGGTTGACTGGTAGAAAATGCCATAAGGCATTAAATCCGCCCTTAATATTTTAAGGTGTGTAATCAAGATTAAAAAATAAATATCATCATTACAGTCCACCAAAGGTCCACTGCTGAACATAGGCTTCCCCTATAGTTTACTTTATAAGAGATATTTGCATTAGATGCTATGCTTGCTACGGGTTGGCAATCGCAGTTATTTTCTAGATGTTTGTAAGAAGATGCTGTATCCAAACTACTGATTTGTTTACCTTTGTCGCTCCTTACAACACTCATATAGAGTAGTAGATGTTGTTCGGCCGTCAGTTCACGATTTTTTAGTCATCATCATCATACTCCATCAAAAGTCGACTGCTGAACATTAGCCCGTATAGATTGCCTCATAGGTGGAATATTCGTCATAGTTGTCACCACAAATTTTATTCACAACTAGCTGTTCCCCGCAACTTTGCCCGCGCGTAATTTATTACGATTGGATTTCATGGGTTTTAATTTTTTGCGCGAAACCCTAATTCTTTTTATAAAATAAAAGTAGCCTAAGTTACTTCTTATAACATCAGCTATCTGGCAGTGAAAGTCCGGTCAAAATCGGTCTAGCCGTTTCGGAGATTAGGCGGAACAAACAGACAGACAGAAAGACAGACAGGCAAAAATTTTAAAAATCGTGTTTCCGTTATAAGTACCGTATATACTTTCATATGCATATAATAAAAAGCTGTTATTTCGACATTACAAACAGACACTTCAATTTCATTTTTTTGTATAAATAATTAAACCCTTTCCCAAAATAAACTAGGAAGACTACAGATGTGTTGTCTGACAGCCTTTAATTATACATAATTAATAGAATCAGGCGTTACTCATATAAAAGCTTTTAGAAAAATATCCGCGTTATATAATAAAATGATATGTCTTACCTAGTATGAAGAGCACCTCCCGCCCTCCCTCAATTGCGTGCACTATCCCCGTCACCAATAATCGCAGCACCGCTACTCCCAACACCACTACACTAGGCAAGACACACCACTAACGATAATACGACACGTGTTTCGCCTCTACACGAGGCATCCTCAGGTGATATAGACTCTACGGTGTAACCGCTAAGTGAGCGGCGAGCCAAAACAAGTGCCTTTTATACAGACCGCTGACGCAACCGCTTTCTACTTAAGGAGCGAGCGACTGCGTTATGCGATAAAACATGCGATAATCACCGCCGGACTTACGCAGTCGTTTGTAAAATTAAAAACAAACCGCCGCGCAACGCCCACCCTCCAACCACGAAACCAATCGCCGAACACGGTGAGGGTGACAAACGACCATATTGCGAGGCTCTCTATTATTAGAGAGCAGGCTTAAAGATATTTAAGAGAGGTGAGTTAGTAACATTTGTTTGTTCATTCAGCAATGCAACGGTACTATTGTTACTTTTTAATATCTCTAACTGTTCCAGCACACACAGCCGCAGACCTTTATTACACGTATGTAAGACTTTAAAGGAGTGGTCGTTGGCTAGGTTGTGTCCAGTGTCCAAAAGATGTTTGGCAAAATGGGATTTATTGGAATTGCAATTCCTGTACGCGGCTAAATGCTCTTTATAACGTGTCTCGAAATTGCGACCAGTCTGACCAACGTAAACGGCGTGGCATTCGTCACAAACAAGTTTGTAAACACCTGACTTTTGACGAATACCCAACTTATCTTTATTATTACAGATATTTCTAAGAGAATTGTTTGTTTTGAACGCCACATAAATGCCGTTTTGTCGAAGAGTATTAGCTACTTTTTCAGATATGGGGCCTAAGTAGGTCAAACTGCTCACATATCGATGAACACTTTGAGGTTGAACCGCGTACAGAGAGTTGCGAACAACTTGCTTTTGTTTCTTTTTAATTAATTAATTAGGATGCCTCGTGTAGAGGCGAAACACGTGTCGTATTATCGTCAGTGGCGTGTCTTGCCTAGTGTAGTGGTGTTGGGAGTAGCGGTGCTGGGATCAGTGTTGAGGGGGATAGTGCACGCAATTGAGGGAGAGCGGTAGGTGCTCTTCATACTAGGTAAGACACATCATTTTGTTTTATAACGCGGATATTTGCGAAGTGAATTTTTCTAAAAGCTTTTATTTAATTATACAGCTCCTCTATGCTCTTCAGAATGAAATACTGCGACTGGAGAGCCAATTAGCGCGTGCGAACGACACACACGATTCAATCAGCACGACTTATGCGCAATAACGGTCACCGCTAGACTTTCATGCCACTGCTTATAAAAGAAAGTTACATATCACATACTCCGATGAAATAAAGCTACTTATCATGCTTTGTTACACAGACTAAGGTAGAATGCTATATAGCTTGTAATTATAGTGTCTCTTACTTTTCATAATACAATAGTTAAGACTTTGCTGCTTAGTGGCGAATATAGGTTAGTAAATGTTCCTCACATAGATAGGATAGACAGAAAATGAGCAGACTAAACACATATTTACTAAAGAAAGTCTAGTACTTAGTAATTTATTATCTTAAGACTTTTAGTTCCGTACTGAAATAAAAAATAATTAAGCCATTAATTTATATGAAGGTAAAAAGGTTGAATGCTTATTTTTTGCATTCTGACTAAGAATAAGGCTAAATTAAATAAAAATAAATTTATTATATCCGCAATATATTAGGCGAAAAAGGTAACAACAACAAAATAAACATATTTGTAACATGTTACATTTTTCGTGTTATTATTTATTATTAAATTAGATGTTCCTCGCGACTTGCTCGCGTGTTAGGGTTTTTATGTTTTTGCGCGGAACCCTAATTCTTTTTCTAAAATAAAAGTAGTCTAAGTTACTCCTTATGAAATCAGCTATCTGCCAGTGGAAGTCCCGTCAAAATCGGTCCAGCCGTTTCGGAGATTAGCCAGAACAAACAGACAGACAGACAAAATTTTTAAAAATTGTATCTTAGTTATAAGTAAATACGGTATATTCACTTTCATATGCATTTAGTAAAATACTTTAATTTTGACATTACAAACAGACACTTCAGTTTTATTTATTTGTATAGATTAACTTATACAAATAAATAAAATTGAAGTATTAGCAAGTGGAAAGAAGTGGTCTCTGCCTACCCCTACGGGAAAGAGGCATGATTATATGTATGTATGTGTGTATAGATTAAGCGTTTTAACTGTTCGTTTGTACAAACCCTCCCCTAACAGCGGTATGGTAGCAATTCAGATAAAAGCGATCTTTACAAATTGAACTAAAAAAGTTTAACAGACCTTTCGTGTTAATTTTTTTTCTAAGTGACTGTCCGTAGCAATATTTTGGGGCATTGGACCGATACTGAAACCAATGAGCCTCCCAGCTTATCTTTTTTTTTTTAATTTTTTAATTTTTTTACGTGTTTTTATACGTGATAGGGCTATGCTGCAGCTATATTTCTGGTATAGTTGTAGCACGAATAGGTCGGCTTGACCGGGGAAGGACCACGCTCCCACAGAATGCCTGCGTAAAATAGCAGCTTAATGCTGCTGTGTTTCGTATGGTGAGTGTAGAGAACTGGAGACCCTTTTTACTGGAAACGAGGCATTCCATCTTAGTCCTCACGGGTGACAACGCATCTGCATTTTGATTCGTAATCGAGGATAAATGTAGATGTCTATGGGCCACAGCAACCACTGACCATCAGGTGGACTGTGTGCTCGTTTATCACCCTAAACCTATAAAAAAAATTGACATGTATATGATATAAATTAATAATTATAGATTTGTTATAATAACAGTCATTATTATGTATATTTTTATTAAGTTATAGAAAAAAGTTTGAGTTTATTTTCTATCGCCTAATTGTTTGCCAAGCGATTATGCCGACTTCTTGGATATATACCGTCGCTGAGAAGAAAAGAGAAAGAGAGGAAGACGGATAATTTAAATAAATCAATAAATAATAAACAATTTAGCTGATAAAATTTTTTTACTTTACTATTTCGTTTTAGTTTATTTTTGTTATTGTAATAATTATTGAACAACATTGCATGCATTTTGTAAATAAATGATTTTGGCTACAAATACACTTAACATTTATGGATTTTTTTTTAATAAAAATCAGTTTTTCAAAGTTTAATTTTTATTTACATATATCGAACACTAGCTTATTTAATACTTTGGGCGTAAAGCTATATTTAATAATAAGATACGTGAGGGTAATATGTAATATGGTCAATAAAACAAAAGACAGAGACAAAATCACCAAGTCATATATTATAACAAATATACTAGGAAAAAAAATAGCAAACAAGCTTAGGCAATAATTAGGAAAATTTCGCAAAATTAATTTAAAAAAAAACTAACTACACTACACAATACTAAAATCGACTAAAATATTTATCATAATTTCAACTGTCAAAATTACCTCGATAAAGCAGCGCCATTTTGGCCCTTTATTGAAGAGCTATCGTATCATAGAGCCATCCACGCAAACAGGGTCGTAGTTTATGAGTTATAGGAAAGTGACCATATTAACCGGATGACCATATTACCCTCACGTATATATATATACTTTGTTCCATTGCACAAGCATGCGCAACGCACGGTCAACTTAATACAAGTTCAAATAACAAAATAATACTCTTTGGCAATCAGTCTGATTTGGCATATATACTTAAATAAAAAATTCAAAAATGTCAACAAACATAATTCATACTATAAAATTTCTTTATATCGTATTGTTCCGTAAAAGCATTCGTGTCGTCCTTGGAAGTGTTTGCATTGTGTTCCGGAACGTAAAGTATACCGTCGGAACTAGTTCCAACGTTTTCATCAATACCTAAATGCCTGTAATATTTTTCAGTCACACTTTCGTTTTCGTAATTTAAGCTATCGTCAAAATAAATAGTCGAGGTCAGGGTATCGTTAGTATCACATACGATTTCTTCAGGTTCAGTCTTGAAGGAATCATAATGTTCCATTTTTATAACCTGGCTCTCTGGCTTATAGAGCTTTCTCCCGGTAGAACCTTTACTAGGTTTAGCGTCAGTAGAGGTGGAAACTTCTGGAGACTTTATCCTTTTACTTTTGTACCTTCTATTCTGAAACCAGATCTTGACCTGTGTCGGTGATAAATTCAAAGTCTTAGCTAGCTGTTCCCTTTCCGGTGCCGTTAAATATTTTTGAGCTCGGAAACGTACTTCCAAGGCGTGAACTTGGGTTTGAGAGAAGAGTATCCTCGGTTTCCTTTTCGCGCTTTTATCTTTCTTTTCAGACTTCCCGTTGCAAATTGGTGCCTCTGCAAAAAAGAAATTACTATTATTAGAGGTTTATAAGATAATTATTTGTAGCTTGGTAAAATATAGAAAAATAAAAATATTTTATTTGATACTACTTTTCATTATTTACTAGTGTTTAAAATAACTAAAATAATCTTTAAAATATAGCTTGCTAGTAAAAATTATAGATGAAGGATTTGGTGACGTGGTAAAGCCATGCTGCAGCTATATCACTGGTATAGTTGTAGCACGAATGGGTCACCTCGACCGGGGAAGGACCACGCTCTCACGGAATACCAGCGTAAAATAGCAGCATAACGCTGCCGTGTTTCGTATGGTGAGTATAGAGAACCGGAGGGCCTTTTTACTGGAAACAAGGCATTCTATCTTAGTCGTTACGGGCGACAACGCATCTGCATTTTAATTCCTAATCGAGAATAGATGTAAATGTATATGGGCCACAGTAACCACTTACCATCAGGTGGACTGTGTGCCCGTTTGTAACCCTTATCCTATAAAAAAAAGGGATTAAAAGGATCTGGAATTATGATCGCCAATCTATTTCCTACACGTGGCAATTACAGCAAAAACTTTTCACTGGCTAAATATGATAAATATACGTAAAAGACAACATAATTCAGTTATGAATTAAATTATGTATTGTTTATTACTCACTTGTTGATTTTCTTGACAAATTAGTAAGCTTTTCTAACGACTCTGTTCTTGTGTACGGCAAGGAATTGGAAACCATAGGCTGTAGACCTTTTTCATTTATGCATGGCCTTTCCAAATATGATATTACTTGATTTTGTGCGTCCCTATCTTCTATGGTGCCTAGTTTGGGTGGTGCGTCTAATAATGAGTGAGAGCTTGGATTTTGAATTTCTTGATACTGTTCGTGTGTCTGCTGATAGAGATTGTGGTAGTATGGATTATAATTATAATATTCTTCAACTTTCGTATCTTGGTACATCACAGGGTTCCAATAAGAGTCCGTATTAGTATGCATAGGTATGTTATGGTAGGCTTGACTGAAATAATCCGGATAATACGGCTGGTTTTGATGGTATAACGGCTCGAAATCATTGGTCCTACGATCCTTATCGTTCGAACTCCACATATCGTTTCGTTCATAATAATTTGTTTGGTTTATATTTAGTATATCTTTAACAGAAAAAGGTGTTGTTAAATTCGAAGCCGTTTCATCAACTTTCAACCTGTAGTTCGTTTTAGGGTCTAAATATGCACTGTAGTCCTTCTCGACGTTTTTTTGCAAGCTCTTATCGATGGTCACGTGTTGATAGTTGTAAAAATCATTTTTACATTCGTTGAAGTTATGTTTCAAGCTGTTATTGTTATATGACGTGGTGACTTCGTTGTGTTGCTCGTAGTTTTCCATATTGCACGAAATAACACTGTCACTGATTCATTATTCACTTTGACATATTATTTAAGGGTGCGGCTGGGTTAATTAAGTTGTTGTTTAAATGACTCGCAATGGAAGACTGATGGTGTTAAAGATTGGGCTATGAAGCCAATCCACGATGCCTTGTGTATTATGGGCGGAGTTATGGGGTCGCTACCGTCCTTTTCCCGGTCGTAGAGGACCGGGATAGAGCTGTCTTTATCTCGCTCGACTGCTCTGTTTACTACGTAACGTAAATAAGTGCATGATTTCATTGTGTGTCGAGAATATTTGATACCTTTCTCTGATTTCGATGACGTAATTTTATTTGTGTTATTTGGGTTTAATTGATTAGTGACGCATATGCACGTTCTAAATAATATTATTAATAATATATTTAGTTTTTTATATTTAATATTTTTTTAAATAAAAACATTCTTTTTTAAATACGCGTATGTAAATTATCTTATATAAAAAAAATTACTTAGACCGGGACAGGAGCGGTCTGGTACTAAGATCGTCAATTGTCCGCCAAGTCGCCAAGTTAATTTTTTTATAGGATAAGGGTTACAAACGAGCACACTGTTCACCTGATGGTAAGCGGATGCTGTGGTCCATACACATCTACTTTTAAGCTCGATTACGAGAGCGTGGTTCTTCCCCGGTCGAGTCGACCCATTCATTCTACAACTATACTACTAATATAGGTGCAGCATGGCTCTACTACGTAAAAAAAATACGTAAAAAATTTATTGTACATTTAGTGTTATCCTCGATTGAGAATCAAACTGAAGATGTGTTGTCACCCCTGAGGACTAAGATGGAATGCCTTATTTCCAGTAAAAAAGGGCCTTCGGATTTCTACGCTCACCATACGAAATACAGCAGCATATGAAGCTGCTATTTTATAATGTTATTCAGCGTCTACGCTGGTGTGGCTCAAGTCTTCCCTGCAGTGTGAGATGCTCATGTCTAGCAGTGGACTGTTACGAGCTGTTAATTAAAAAAAAAATAAGATATTTTTCTTCTTTCCCAAAATTTTAAGTTTTAGGTACTATTAAAGTTATTTTATTTAAAAACGATTTAAAAAATATTATATGAGATTGCACACGCAAGCAATGAGGGCTAATAATTTTCTGCTCACCAGATATCGCTAGTTAGCACTGAGGTAAAGTTATTGTTACAAAATGTAATTTAATTGAGAAGTAGTTTTTAATAAATGTTTATCAGTTTCTAGAATATAATATTAATATACAAAACAATGTGTCAGTGATTTGCTCTTTAATTTTTCGCTCATTTTTAACATTTTTTAATTTTTCTATTTTTGTGAATATCTGTGGTTGGGTTTATTTATTTTTAATATTATTAATATAAAATATATCTAATAGTACAAAAAGAAACAATAACTTTTATATTTTTTGAACAAATTAACTTCCCCGATCCCCGCTATGAAATCTGTCAAATATTATAGATACCGTACTTTCTAGTGGCGCCGCCCTGGTGGCAGAAAAAATCGTGGAGTCATTAGCGTCAGTCGATCTTTTTTGTTTTTGTTTTTTTTTCCTTTTTTCTTAAGCGTGCAGTTTCTTATCGGCCAGTATGTTTATATAGTAAAAGTTCAAATATAAATTTGCAGTCGTAAGCGGATCTAACAATAATGATTTGCATTATGATCAGTAGTTAATATTTCCCTTGCTGCAACCCAAAAACTAATTTATTGACATTTATATATATCACTTGTACTTATAATACTAGCCCTGAGGTCGGTTCACTGGTCGAATTGTTTATTTAAAATTAACCTTAAAGGTGTGAAGAATGTTTGTATACAAATCGTCATCGCTGTGCCGTGATTATGTTGGCTTTATTGAGCGGGTCTTGTTCGGTTGATGAAATACGAAGTGTATAAAATAAACTGAGTGCCAACGTATAGCGGGCATTAGATATACTTGAAAACCACAGTATTTATTTTATATGGTTTATATGGTGGAAATTATATTTTTTAAACTTTTTAACTCTTTTTTATTATACGAAACACAGCAGTGTTAAGCTGCAATTTTATGCTGGTATTGTGTTAGAGCGTGGTCCTTCCCCGGTCGAGCCGACCCATTCGTGCTACAACTATAACTACTAAAATAGCTGCAGCATGGCTTTGCCACGTAAAATAAAATAAAAATTACAACCGACTTGATGATGTTCTAAATTTTTTTTATTAAAAAAAAGTTACCCCCACACTAAGACTCTCTCCTGTGTCGTGGAGGCATTTTACAAACATAAATTGCACAAGGACAAACATCCAGACCAGAAACAATTATTCGTATGTCATACAAATACTTGTTCATGCGGGATTCGAACCTGCGGCCCCAAGCGCTGCACCTCTATTGGCTCTCCGCCAAATTTACATGTGAAGCACCAGCATTCAAATAAAAAAAAGAAATCAACAAAATCGGCTTATCTAGAAAAAAAGTTCTGAGGTAACAAAACTTACATAAAAAATACAATCAATTTGAGAACTTCCTCCTTTTTTGAAGTCGGTTGAAAATATACTATGCCATTTACAAAATTAATTCGGCGACTAGGTATTAATTAATTTTGTTTCATTCAGTATTAATTTGCTTTATAATAAAGACAGTGTATCCGTATTCACTACAACCATAATCGACCCGTTGGTGTCGTAAGAAGTGGCAGAGGCAAACAACCAAGATATGTACAGCAGCAATATAATAAAAATAAAAACTAATAAAAAATAAAAATAAAAAACTAATAAAAACTAATAAACTAATAATAAAAACTAGAAAATAAATTACTGTGGGTTTTTTTAAAGGTAAAGGGTAACAAACGAGCACATAGTCCAGGTGATGGTAAGTGGTTGCTGTGACCCATAGACATCTACATCTATCCTCGATTACGTATCAAAATGCTGATGCGTTGTTACTCGTGAGAACTAAGATGGAATGCCTCGTTTCCAGTAAAAAGGGTCTCCGGTTCTCTACACTCACCGTACGAAACACAGCACCGTTAAACTGCTATTTTCGCTGATATTTTGTGAGAGCGGGGTTTTACTTCGTACATTCGTGCTACAGTTATACTACTACTATAGCTGCAGCATAACTCTACCACGTTAAAAAGGTTGCAACTGTGGAAAATATCGCACTTATGAGGCAATCCAGAGGGAATCCAGAATTTATTATTGTATTAAGCTTTGCTACGGAAAATCGAAGTAACTTGTAGATTTTATTATAAGCTTATTCTGTATAATATAAATTAATGACATTTTATATTATGCTAGCGATCTACTCCAGCTTCGCACGGGTGATATCTGGATTCTAAACCAGCGTCACCTACCTGGTGCAACTATACATATGTATAACATAACCTATATATACGAGTAACATTAGCGGAAGTACAAGCAATATGTTGACAAAGTTTTAGCTCAATCTGATGAACGATATGGCTGCTCAGAAAATACCCACAAACAAATATTAATTTTTATATATTAGATAAACGGAATCGGACAATTTTGTGTTCTCAGGGTTGAGAAGGTATCTTCAGTACTTCCTCATCATAGGGGTGACTGTCGGCGATTTTATTACTTTGATATTTTTATATTTAAGTGAAAACGCGTAAGGTAGGCTTCGATTCAGATTATCTCTACATCTATTATGTTTAAATGCAACAGTGTTCGTTACAATATTAATCAATTGTATAATATTTTTATAATATACAATATTTTATTATGTACACTATTAAAAACTATAATAAAAAAAACTAAAACTAGTAAATTCCTATTCCCCGCGGTATCGTGCCAAGAACGCTAACTGCGTTTCCCCGCTGAATGGCTATACTTAGCCTTTGAGCGAGAAAAGAACCAGCCCTCTTATCACCAGCATTTTTAAGTGGTTGATGCTGCAGCTATATTATTAGTATAGTTGTAGCACGAATGGGTCGGCTCGACCGGGGAAGGACCACGCTCTCACAGAATACCAGCGTCAAATAGCAGCTTCATGCTGTTGTGTTTCGTATGGTGAGTGTAGAGAACCGGAGACCCTTTTTACTGGAAAAGAGGCATTCTATCTTAGTCCTCACGGGTGACAAGGCATCTGCATTTTGATTCGTAAACGAGGATAAATGTAGATGTCTATGGGCCACAGTAACCACTTACCATCAGGTGTACTGTGTGCTCGTTTGTCATACGACACTATCCTATAAAAAAAGCAGCAACGACCAGCCACGGATGGAGTTCCTTTAGGAACATCACCACACGTGTACCCGACGGAGCGATTGTTCCTATGGAAAATGGTAATAATAATCAATCTGCGCGGATTGGATTATACGGGTAGTGTATGAATGTGTGCGCAAACATATACACTCTCTGTCCCTACCCTAATGCGACCATAGAGAAATCAGGTGCAAGACTTCCGAAGCACTTAAGTGAAACACTGCCAACTTCCTGACTCCCGGCTTCCAGCTGGCTAAAGAGAATTTCTTAACAGATAAACTCAATAAATGAAATAGCCAGTCCCGGAATTTGAAACCAGGACCGTGTAATCAACAGCGGCGCTTACAACCGCATGACTAACGAGGCAGTCATTGATTATTTCACACACATGGAGTAAATGGAACATATTTCGGCCTACTTAAAATTTTCTGTTCTAGCTTAAACTGTAACTGTTTGGAGAAAATTGGATTACTTGTGAGTTTCTTGCCGCTTCTCATAAGGTCTCCCGCGGTAGGGACTTTGTTGAAGCAATGGCGTAGCTTTCATGACTTCATCGTCATCATCATTATAGCCCTTCACAAGTCCACTGCTGAACATAGGCCTCCCCCAAGGAATACCAGAGAGCACGAGCTGCCACCTGAGACCTTTTTCCCTCATCGGTTGTCGGTTCTTCAAGCTCACCCATAACGGTCCAAGGAAAGTCGCTAATCCAGCAAGCATGGAGAATAGGCATCTCTTGGGATGATCAAGTTCCACACGAATTGAACGTGTTATGGTG